CCCCCCCCCCCCCCATATACCGCCCAAAGGGTGCCAACAGTGACGTAACAATAGGAAGGATTATGTAACAATGGAAAAGTAATTAACATCAATTAACATCAATTAGCGATCACGCTACCTTGAATCTTAGTTAGTGATATCGATTGTTTATTAGAATAACAATATGATACCGTTATCATTTAAATAATGACATTCTGGTATCGGTATCATTAAACCGAATTCAATAAAGCATCAATTAGCGTCTCGTAGTCATTGTTATCAAAGAAACAGAATACCGTTATCATTGAAATAATAACACGGTGGTTTTATTAAAATAGCAATACGATGATACTGTTATCATTTAAATAACAACATGCTGATATTGATAGCAAAATTACTATAAATAGACAAGAACAATTTCATTTTCTGGCGAGAACTTTTGCTGAGAAAAGATTATTTTTTACGAAATACTTTGAACATGAGTTTTTTCCAATCGAAAGAGCGTGCGGCATTTTGTTTACTAATGGACGAAGTTGCATCTTATGAAGTGAAAAATTTATGTGGTCTGATGGATGCTATATTTTCTGAAGCTGTTTCCGATGAAATAGCGAAAATACGTAAGGAAAAGTGTTGTGACTGTAAAGTGGATTACCCGCCGAGAAGACATGAATGTCTCATGTTAACACTTGAAGAAAGTTTAAAAAAGCTGTTACACAGTATGAAACGTAGAAGCTTAATAATGTCGTCAATAGTTAGGTTTGTTTGTTGTTGTAAGGTAGTATCTTTGAGTAGTTTGTTGCGAATGTGTTCGCATGTTTTTTCGACAGGGACAGCAGTAAACAGAGAAACAACGTCAAAGGAAATCATAATTTCATCGTCTTCAATGTTGATGTTGGATAGCCTATGTGCAAAGTCAGTCGAGTTGGTAACAGAATGCTTCGATCTGTAATTGTAAACCGTATAGTCGTCTGTATCACTGTATTTTATAACTACCCGTTGAAGGCTGCAGTCTGGCAACCGAAAGCTCGTAAATAAAAAATCTTCAATCAGAGAACGTCTCAAAAATCATTATGTTCAATCCTGGTCGCACTTCCAGCATATTTAAATATTATTTATCTGTTATCAATGTCGCGTTAATTAAGTTGTCTTAACATTTTGAGTTGGTTGTTAGAAATAACTATAATGTTTTCTTATCTTATCTTTATTCAGTCAAGGAAAAAACAGGCAGCACAGTCATTATCATAGCAACAACAGCAGGTGGTGTCGTATTTTTATGTATTGTGCTTATTGTCTTATTGATAAAATACAAGCGACGAAAGCGGGCTCCAAAATTATCAACTCTAATTGTCAATGAATCACTGACAGACGAAACTCCACAAGAATCATTGCAAATTGCATTGCCACTTGATCAGGTAAATTATTTACGGATGTTGAGTTCAGAACTGATAGTTTTAGTTTAGGTTTTCTCCTGTAGCAACACTGGATCAATAAGAGATGATCCTTATTGGACCTCTAGGAAGAACAGTTTAGAACTGATAGAGCTATCCAGTATACAGTAAATAAAGTCAGTTTAGGTTTCCTGCTGTAGTAACACTAGATCAATAAGAGATGTCAGAGATGATTCTTACTGGACCTCTAGGAAAAACAGTTTAGAACTGATAGAGCTATCCAGTATAAATAAAGTTAGTTTAGTTTAGGTTTCCTCCTGTAGTAACACTGGATCAACAAGCACTGCATGGGCTTTCCTGGACCTCTCGGGGAACAGTTATAAAAACTAATCGGAGCAACCGAAAACTATTCCAAGCCTTTTGGCCTTAGTTTTTATGCTTGGGTAAATTGGACAAACGCAACACGTGTAATCGACATTGAAAGTCATCATTATCATAAAAACAGAAGCCAGGTTGCGAAACTGTTGCAAGAGTTAATCATATAGTTGCCAACTCTCACGGATCCACCGTGAACGTCACGGATTTTACTAAAACCTCACGGCGAGCTCACAGGTTGTTAATATCTCGCGGATTCTCATGGATCCTCGCGGATTTCGAAAATAACCCAACTGATTCTAAAATATCTTGGCTTTGTTGCACATTTTAAATATTAAGAGTGACTTCATTTGCCTCAAATTACATTTTTTCTTGGAAAAATTCACGCTATTAAGCCAAAAATAGATCATCAAAACATCGCTACATGCATGCATGCATGCATGCATGCAACCTCGTACTTGTGGGTATTCTACAATATGACTCCATATTTTCAATTTTTTTCCGCTCGGCGCAAACCACGTGGCGCCTCGTGGGCCCCCCAAAAGCAAAATCTCACGGATGTTTTTTCCCAAAGTTGCCAACTAAGGCAACTGTGGTTAATAGAGAGTTTCACGGAGACGTCGCCACAAAAGCAGACCAGTCTGAAGACGTATCAGGTCAAGGTAATATGTATATAAAATTCCACTAACCTTCCTATTTGTGTACTTTGGTCATTCTGAGAAGAATTGTAATATATCTTGAATAAACTGCAATAATTTTTTACTGTAAAGTTTGAAACTCGCCCGCGTTTGAAAACCAACTGTCAACTTCCAAATGAGAGTTGACGAGAACCCTGTTCTAAAACACAATACACAAGGGTATAATAGTTGAGAAAAATTCCATGCAAACTCTCGCCATATTGGGACGGAAAATTATATGTGTTTATTGATACAATGATATATGATATATTTAGGTTACGAAACTGTCGCAAGTGTTGATCGAGAGTTTTACGATGACTTTGCAACAAAAGCAAACGAGTCTGAAGACATGAGAGTTGATGTCGAGTACCCCTGTTCTAAAACAAAGCATTTTACAGCGCCCAGCTGATGAGAGCTTTTGCTACACGCGCTATATAATTATATGCACAAGAGTTGAGAAAACATATTTTGGAAAATAATTAACAATTATTCGCCGAAGGCGAGGTGATTATCGGTGAATAAAAACCGAGACGAAGTCGAGGTTTTTATTCACGATAATCACCGAGCCTGAGGTGAATAATTGTTTTAGTATAATGTACTGGGATTGCCAGTAAATGAGGCGAAAAACAGGTTTCAACTCACTTTAATTATAAAAATATGGAAAATTACAAAATAATAGATTTAGGTAAAACACTGTTTTCCTTCGCACGCCATATTAGCTCCTATGCGCATGCTCTAACAAAACGTAAATAAACATCGTTCAAAAGGCGATCGCAGAGATTATTGTCTACAACTTTAGTCTTTACTCCAACCCAATACACCGGAAGGACTGGGGTCGATGCGATCGCGTCATAAAATCTGAATGTAAATTTCTCTAATGCATTGTTCACTCAATACTATATAATGTCACTGTCCGTTCATACACTCTCTTTTGCTTCCGACTTGGTTTCCTGGTCTTGATCCATATCCACTGGTACTAATAACGATAATCGCTGAGCACTTCGTGACACAATGACAGCCTCATTATGTCCTTTGTATTTTTGTACCTTTTCTCCAATTTGAAAATTCTTGTACATGACATTTACTCGACGAACTTTTCCGTCTTGACTGGGAAACACTTCTTGTACTATACCAAAAGGTTAATCTCCTCGCAAGGTATTACGGTCGGCGATTATTACAACATCTCCTGGGCGCAGGTTACGGTTGGCTGTATTCCACTTGCGACGAATAACCAAGGCTGGGGCGTATAACTCCGTCCATTTCTTCCAGAACTCGTCTGTCACGATCTGGACAACATGATAACGCTTTCCTGGATTATTACCGTTAGGCTGCCATCCACCAAGATTCTTCGCCGTTGCTCTGCCCAGTAACAAGCTGTTGGGAGTAAGGATGTTTAATTCGGAATCAGCGCCCGGGAGGGTTCCGATAGGTCTTTCATTGAGGAGGTTCGTGGCTTCGCTACACACCGTCATGAACTCTTGGACTGAAAGACGTTGGTTATTGATTGCGAAATGAATAGCTCTCTTGGCACTCTTCACCAGGGATTCTACAGCTCCTTGGTACCAAGGACTATCAGCGGGGCCGAAGATCCAGGTCAATCCATTCTCTGTGCCACTTTTATGTAGGGATTGTCGGTCAATGCTCTTCCAGGTTTCCGTGAGTTCTCTTTCCGCACCAATTAGTTGTGATCCGGGATCACTATATATGATTTCGGGCCAACCACGAACGCTGACGAATCTGCTGAGGGCCATTAGGAATGATTCGGTATCGTACCCGAACACAGCTTCAATGTGGACTGCTCTCATAACTAGATCTGTGAAGATTACTCCGTACGCTTTACCACTTGTTCTTTTCTGTACTTCTCCACGAACCGAGTAGGGTCCGAAAAGGTCTCTCATAACGTGGTTGAAAGCTGGAGATGGTTTCAATCTTGCTTCCGGTAATTGTCCCATTTGCTGCTCGAGGAACTTTGCTTCTCGTAGCTTGCACATCTGACATTTACTCTTGATTGATTGAGCGAGTTTGCTTCCTTGGGTTACCCAGTA